ATATATATATATATATATATATATATACCATTTCACATATTTCACATATTAGAAATCAAACTAGTAATGTTTTTATGTGATATGAAAGATTTTGGTGGAATAAATATAAATAGTAAAGTTTATGAAATAGATATATAAATACTTAGGAAGTGGGTGGTATGCATTCAAATGCCCCCAAAATTATCTCATTGATATTTTCAACACAGATATTTAATATTTATTTATATAATATTTTATAAACATAATTATATTAAAATATATACTTTAAAAAAATGCATCACTTGAGAAAGAAAGAAATATTAATGATATTTTAATATGATATCAAAAATTAAAATGGTATACTAATATAAGAAATACTATATAATTTCAAAATTATACAATACGGATAAAAATCCCATAATTTCTTTTGCATTAGCAAGAGTAAATCTCACACAGATAACGACATTCGCAGATCTTCTATTTTATATACATATAAATATTAAATCATTAGTTCATATAAGACAAAAGTCTTTATTTCGGAGTTATTGAAGAGAAACTCATACATTCCACTACAATAACTCTGAAATAAGTCTGAAATAACCTCCCTGAGCATTAGAAGATAGCAGCAACAATTAAAAAGTAATCTCAATTAGAACTATACATTAAGATGAAAGGTGAGTAAAAAATACCAGATACAATGCCACGATCGCCATCCATGAAGCAGCCGGCTAAACTTGCCCCCACAAAACAAACAATTTTTTGCGCAAGAAGAGAATAACAAGGATTCATATACTCACTGGATCTAAATTATAGAGAAAAAAATAAGCATGCATGCCCCGTTTCTTTCTTCAACATACTGCGCAAAAACATACAAAATGAGGTTGGCTCATCCAAGAATTTGAGCTCTAACCATCATGAAACGTTATGCTTCAGCAGTATGGCGACGATTTCTGAAAACTTAGGCCGCTTGGTCGGGCAATTGTTCCAGCATCTTGTCATTAGGTACCTTAGAACTGGAGGGCAATCCTTTGGGATATCCGGACGTAATCCGCAGGCGGCAATGCCCACCGCCGCCTGCACCGGCGAGTAGGATGAGAAGGCAGCTTCTCCCGTTATCATCTCCCATAACACCATGCCGAAGCTGTATATGTTGCTCATGCAGGTTTCAGTAACGCTCTCTGGATCGCCCGCAATGATCTGTTGGACATCAAAATGGAGGAACATAATGAGCTAATTGATGCTAAACAACTGATCATTCCATTTTTTTTTTTAATGGACTCCTCCAAAAGGATTTGGTGCATCAAAGGGTTTATGTGAAATTGGAAATCATAATTTTAAAAATGAAGAAGTTTGTTACAAATAACATTTTGTGGGATGATTAAACCACTGGCATTGATTTCAAACTCTTTAAGAACTTTTTGTAAAACATGACACTAGTGAAAACAAAATCATCATTTTTTAAATATATTTTCTATTTACAAGCAAGAAAATGAGTGTAATTGACCAAATCGTGTAATGTTTCAAGTTTAATATTCGATTTTTTTATTTTTTTGGAAGAATTTGATATATTTTTTTGTCTGTAATTGACCAAATTCCCAATTTATCTATCTGCCGCTACTAATACTCCATAAAAAAATTGGAATATGTTCATAAGCTCTGTTGGCCCTGCACTGTGCAACAAAGGGCTATTGACAATGCAGTATTGCGAAGCCGTACCAGCAAACTTATGGAGAGTTGTTGAATCATAAAAATAAGACATATGGCGAAATCATTAGACATGTTGAGCAGAGGGACTCATCAAACTAAGTATTAGTTCTTGAATTAGTGGTATAATAAATGAAAAAGGCATCAGTATATTTTATGCGCTTTTCAGTAATACATAAGAAAATTGATGCTAATTGAATAAGAAAATGCACACAAAAAACGATCATTTGGACAGAAAGTGAAACAAAACTAGGGATCATTTTTTTAGCATTTGTCTGCCGTCTATATTTAAGCGTTTATCTTCTAACTTCCGACGACCATGCATCTTTGGAAGACTTCCCTACAAACAACTAAATTCCTATGTTAAATTTTTAGCACCTAAAATTCAAATTTTAAGTGCATGCCATCTTTCATGAAAAAAGATGTAATTTTTTTTATGTGATGTAAAAATTTTTGTATGATATAAATGTAAAAAGTAAAATTTTGGTTTTAGATATATAAATACAAAGGAATTGCGTAGTACATATATGTAAATGCGCCAAGGTTGGATTTTTAAGGAAAAAAAGACAAAGTGAAGAAAGCAGACTCACCTCAGGAGCAAGCCACCGGTAGCCGGCAGTCTCATACTCTGTAACCTCCCCTGCAAACATGCAAGAAGAAACAACGCCCATGTCCCCAAGGCATGCATTTCCTTGCCGATCCAACAAAATTTTCTGCCTGTTCAGGTCTCTGTAAGACACTCCATGGCTGTTCATGAACATAAGCCCTTCTGCCACATCCAAGGCAATCATCATCACCTCACGGACAGGGACCTTCTTGTTCCTCTGTATCAAATCATGGACTGATCCTCCCTCCATCAACCGTGTCACGACGCAGAGCCCATTGCTTTCGTGGATGCAGATTCCACAAAAGTGCAGCAAATTCTTCTGCCCGCAGTTCATTAGCTGCATCAAATCCTGCCGAATCTCGATCTCATACGCATTTCCCTTCTCACACCCTTTCAATTTCTTAATCCACACCTTCTTCCCTTTAAAAAATCCTGTGAATGAACTGGCCCCGACCCTTTCGACGAATTCCATCTCATCGGCGCCGAGAAGCCAACGGTCGAGCTCATCCCTGCCGGAGCGGACGGTTTGCCACTCGTCGATGTAGACGACAAGCGATGACTCAGGCAGGGGGTTTGGGAGATGTGTCCTGCGGAGGAATTCGGTTGTTGTCGAGTTGTCTGCGGCGAAGTGGGAATCGTCATCGGTTGCTCTGGAGCCCTCTTCCTGGCAACCGCACAGGCTGAACGGGAGCTTGACGCCTGGAGCTCTCTGCTTCCTGGAGGCGGATCGAAGAGCAGCATCAATCCGAGATTTGAACTGCTTCTCGCCGCCGGGATGGATGACTGCGGTGACGACGCCGAGGATGAGACCCTTTTTCTCGAAGATCTGGATCTTCTTGTAGCAGAGCACAACGCCGTCCAAGGCGCTGGACATCGTCGGCCACGAGAAGGACGAGTTGCAGACGAAGCTGAGTTTGAAGTACCCTTCGCAGCAGCCGGAGTTTTCGCCGGGGATCTGTTGGATCTGGAAGGCGGGTAGGTCATCGGCGGCGACCTGGTCGACTAAGCGAAGATGAAGAATGACGTCCTTCATATCAAATCCAGCTTGTGAGTAGCTGTTCGGTAGAGAGTCGAAGTGGCGGCGGACGTCGGCAACGAGCTTCTCCGGCAACTGGCTGGTGGGAAACAGCTGAGTGAGGCTGCGGACAACGCCGGCCCAGGAAAGCTTGCTCTCGCTGCGGGGAGGGGCGGAGGAGTCGAGGTTTAGGGAGTTCTTGAGGGCAGCGATGGCGCCGGCGAAGTTGCGGCCGAGGCGAAGCCACTTCTTTGAGGGAGGTGAACCGGCGGAGGTGGAGGTTGGTGAAGCGGGGGTGGAGGAGGGGGCGGAGGCGGATCCAGTGGAGGATGTCAGGGAAGGGAAGGCTTCGGAGCGGTGGTGGGTTTTCATGAGGACTTGTTCCACCATGTCCTCATCAGTGCTCGGCCGGCCGGACCAGCATTCCAATGCCGCCGACATCTCCGTAGGCGGCAAACCGGGCAAGAACCCAGAAACCAAAACTAATGACCGAAGCGTCGGAGCGAAAACTTTTGTCGGGGATCTTTTCTTGAGGACTACAACTAATCAAGCTTATTACTTGATGGGTGCAAATGGGGGGGGGGACTAAAAAGAAGCAAAATAAATAAATAAATAAATAAATAAAATAATAATAATAATAATAATAATTAAATGAGCCGAAGAATGGCCAAACATGAAAAATTTTCTTTTTACCTGTATTCGGCCCAGCTTTACCCCAAATAAAAAATTATTTATATAATATATATTATATATATTTATATCTAAATTTAAATTATGATAACTGCTGTTGTAATGCAGTCATGTGTCTATTTTTGTTTAGATTTGATTCAGGTTCGAATTCAACACTCAAAATCAATTTTTTCAAATTAATTTTAACGAGCTGAACACAAAATATATATATATATATTTAAATTGAGCTGAACTCGAATACACTGTTCACGATTCAATTTCGAACACAAGTCAATTTCAAACTCGAACAATTTCGAACGGGCAAACACGAGCCAAGCCTGTTTGCACCCCTAGTGGGGTTGTTAGAGATTACTGAGCTCTATCCGGGGCGGGCAGCACACCACTGCAGATTTAATTGATTTGGTAAATTACATTTTGACAGATTTTTCTAATACAGTTTTTATCGGAGGTCTTACTTTTAAAAATGAAATTTAATAGTTAATGTAAATTTTTAAACATCAAATTATTATTCAACAGCAAACAACTTCGAAGTTGCTTTTTAAAAAGTTGACTTGCCCCAAACAAAATCCTAAATTGACATAAAATGTGATCGCCTGTTGTTTTATTTAATTATTAACATGCATATGCATATCCCACATAAAAGCCTAATCGCATGATAATATTAAATAATATTTTACTATCATAATAACAATAAAATATGCAAGTAAGAGTTATTTTTTAAAATTAAATTAATAGTAATTTTGATGTAATAGTAAAAAAAAGAATGTTATATGTACTAAAATGTAAGTATTAAATATGTACATACACAAAAGTGTGGTAAGCTTATGCATCCCTTCTCAATTTGATGCAGCTAAATGTATTTGTGCAAATAATTTTAAATTTAATTATTTATAAATTTAGTATTCTCTTGAAATAAATTTTTTATTTTCACATAAATGTTAAAATTTATAATAAAACCTTAAAACAAGTTTTTATACTTACATCAAATCTCTAACAAGTTTATTATGTCATAAATAAATATATGAATTCATATATTAAAAAATACAAATATACAAGTTATTTATTTATTTATTATTATTTTATTATTTTATTTTTTCATGACTCACACCCCAATAGAGGGTAAGAAAGGAGAGGTGTATATCTGGTTCCCTTTGAACTTGAGATGATTTTTCTATTTATTGTTAAGAGAGTACATTATGATGTTATCACACTTTTGCCCCTACTTTAATAGTGGTTGTATAAGATTTTCTATTTATTTTACATACATGAACCAATCATTTGAATGCTCTCTGGCTTGGTCAGCTGAGCTTGATTAGCCTCGGGTTGGCAAGATTGGTTCGATAGACTAGGCTTGGCCGACATAGTTGGTAGGTTGATCTGTTCTGGTTTTAAACACTAAATATGTGCTGAGAAACCATCTTCGGGAGAGCGATGTAAGACTATCGATTAGAGAATGAATCGCCTTATCCTAGCAGATAGCTCACTCCAGAACGAGAAGAGTCTAAAGAATGATTATGAGAATTTTTTTTTGCATTGTTAATTTTTTATCCCTAATGAGGAGCATTAGAGGCGTCTATGGATGGTTGTTAATTTTGTGGGACTGCATTTTCGTTGGATCATATCTATCGAAAGGTAGGTTACTTCCTTTAGTATGATCTCTTGTAGTAGTTGGCTCACATGTCTATTTGTTCCGTTTGAGTCAGAATGGATTGGGTTTGTTCATATAGTCGTCTTTGTCCTTCTCATGGCTCCACCGATTTAGGCCTAGCGTGAATGGTTGTATCTTGTGGGCTATGGCTTTGGCTCATATGGATTCATCTGGCTGAATAAGTAGAACTTTTGGTCTTCTATTGTTTGGCCCTCTTTATTCATGCACATCTTCTCTGGACTGTTAGATCTCTTCAGGATCAGCGCTGACACATTTTCGATGTACTTATTTTACTTTTGAGATTCTCTTATTTCTTGAAAATGATGATGCAATAAAAAAAATAAAATATAATATAAAAAGTATACTTCATGTAATCTTAATTAATGATTCAATAATTGAATTCTACATATTTTCATGCCTTTGGACTTTATAAATAAGGCGTGTGAGGAATCTTTGACATTCCTTCTTTGTTTTACATCTTTTTTATTTGAATTGGTCATTATTCAAGAGTTGTAATGGAGAACGTATTGAATCCTCCAACAGAAGTCCCCCAACAAGAAATGCTTTGTGCTGCCTTTGGGAAATCGAAGAAGACTTGCTCTCTCAAAGGTAAAGAAAAAATAGAAAATAACTATCAATAAGAGAAAATTGGTTGCATTACTAGATCAAGTAGGATTGTTTGATTCTTTCATTGGTAACAAGCGGAGGAATGTCCAAACAACCTGTCCAACCAACGATTCGTTAACTCATTCTTTTATTGGGGCATAAAGCCACTGGCTAATGGAGTCATGAGCTGACCCGCAATTACGCAGATATTTATACTCCAAAAGTTTTCCAAAAAATTGTCCCAAATTATATTTAGCGGCTAATGTGAATAAATGAAATGATTTAAAAAATATATAATAAGCTTTCACACTATGAGTACTATGCAAGTATACGTATCGTTTCAAATAATATAGAGTTTTCTTTAAAAACCCCAGTATTACTCCTACAGAGAAAGCTATAACTCTTATTATTGAATTGCAAAACCTCTATATAAAGTGTAGATAAATATAATAAGAGATAAATGTCAAAATAATTGCAAAAGATTAAGACTAAATTTAAGCAGAAAGTAAAACAAAGTTTAAAAGTTTAATAAAATTCAACAGATTAATAAAGTTTAAAAGTGAGTTTGAAGGTTGTGAAACGATTTTTCCCCTTGCAAAAAAAGATGTTAATCAGTATAAGATTTGCATAATTAAAAATATGAAATGATGTATTGTGATAAATAAAAACATACCTATCCTTTACCCCCTCTTGGTGCTAGCAAATAACATTGGTTAACCTAAAATTTGTTTTCAGTTTGTGTAGTAGTGTTGAGTAGATTCTAGCCTCTCACTTCTAAATTTCCAATTGTGCCCTCTCTAAAGAATCTACTAGGGACCCTTACATTCAAACTTAAGACTGAATTGATAAACAAATATAGTCTTTCACTCTAGAAACATCAATTTTACGCTCATCAAAACTTATATCCCTATCAATTTGCACCCCCCTAGACAATTGCAACGACACTTTCCAGACTGAAGTGTGACATTCACAAGTTGGGTGAAATCATTGTCTTCCCGGGTCATTATGTTTATCAACAAATTTTAACCTCACAAGTGGCTTAATTGTAAATTCGAAGAATCGATGGAAATGTTATCTCAATTTTTAAAATAAAAAGAAATCTTTATAACCATTCTCATCCAACTTGATTAATTCCCAAATGCAAGGAGAAAGAAAGGGAACTACTCATAATTCATGGAGATAAAGCAAAAACAGCAAAAACACATGATTTGTATTAAAAAGCAAGTCTTAACAACAAAAACTTAAACACAAATACAAGAACCATATGCTTCTCTCCAAGCAATTCCTGGAGTCTCCTTCAAACAATTCTCCAAACTCTTACACAAACTCTTACTCACACACACACAAACACAAAAACAAAAGTAAATCTTCCTAAAGCCTTCTAACATCTCCCCCACCCCCCAAAAATCCTCTCAAAGTCCTCTTTTTCATCCAAAATTTGGCCCATTTAGTAGATCTCTGAAATTAACCAATAGTTGCTTCAAGCACCTCTTCAAAATTCGACCTAATTCAATGCACCTTCTAGAAAATTGGTTACCGACGCTATAACGCTAGTCTGGGGCACTATAGTGCCCAGTTCGCTCAATAGACGGCACTATGGCGTCAAGGGTGGCGCTATGGCGCCATACAAAATTCTTCATTTTTGCTCCATTTTGTCCTTTTTTTCTCTAAATATTCATTCCATGCACCTAAAATCAAAAACATGCAATACATTCATGTAAAGTGCAATATCATACAAAATATGCATAAAATGATCATGAAATGTACATTAAAAATATATAATTTTCAGGCGGATCAGTTCATGCTAGAAGCTTCTAAGACTCTGTCGCCTCCAAGATCACAATATGTTACTGGTTCTCAGGCGCTATCTTATGAGAGTCGCATGATGATTATAAAGATTGATTTGGATTTACTCTTTGGTGTGAGGAACCTCAGCCTTTCTTGTTAGATTTTGATTTTTTTGTCTCCATTTCCTTATGTTAGACTTTGATACAATTGATTCGATAAACTTGGGTGATGACTCACCTCTGAAAATTGTTTTAGAATATGATTATAGTGCCGACAATGACTGTCCAATTGTGGTTGGTGGCAGCTGACTCTCAAGTGAGGATGACAAGATTGACCGTTCAAGTAGTTCCACGGGAAAGTAGCTATTGGATGTTGGATATCCCCTAGGTCACTTGCTTGCTGCCTAGATGAGATCAAGTACTATTTTGCTCAGTCAATCGAGATTCATCGACGTGAGAAGATATACGAGCTGCTTGCTCGTGTGGTGAAAATGGAGATATGGAGGAGGAGATGGACGTTCTACGCCTGGAACTATAAAAAATCCGGGATACATGCCTCATATTTTTAGCTTAAGTTGAGATGAAGTGCATGAGCCGGTTTAAATTTAGGGGAGAAGTTTTATATAAGAAACTACTTCAACGAGGGGTATGTTATGCTCGAAGCACCAAATAATCATTTTCTAATATATTTTCTTTGGATCAGCTTTCTTGTGTCATTTCTAATATCTTTTTTCTTGAACTTAAATTTATTTTTTTTCATCTCGATTCCTATATTGATATGATTCTTATGTCAACAAAATTTTTGATATCACTGTGCAAATTCATTTTTACC